AGCAAAGTAAATAAAACAGTGATTGAAAAACTGATGAATGCTATGGCAATGATAATTGTAATATTAACTGTTTCTTTATCAGAAAACATTTGGCATTCATTAACAGAAAAACCCGTACAACAATCGGTTGAAATTTATAAAATCTTTCTATTAAAACAATTTTTCAGGAAAATAGGTTTCACTATTTTACATTATTCGGGCTATTGTCTTCATCTTTGTCGCCATATTTATCACAACGTTTCGGCCTTTGTACGCTCTGGCCTTCTTCAGGTGGTTGGAATGTCGAACTGAACCCTTTATTTCGCTCACTGGGGTAGACTGTTCTTGTTCCACGTGCCAAGTTTTTTTAATGGATGTCAGTTACCAGTTATCTCCTATAAATTTCCCTCTCCAAGTTCTCCACTACCTTAATAGGGTATTGAACTCACACACTCTGGGTTCTGTCACTGGATCTAACCAACGACTTTATACTGAGCCAACAAAGCATAGAAATGAATACAATATGGGAACCAGTAAAAAGGAGTACCAGAGAAAAAAAAGCGATAATAACAACAAAAATTGCAATATGAGCTCTGGTAAAAAACGATTGCTGAGACATTGGGTTTATAATACCCAGAAATTCATACACAGATATCCTCAAGGACACATGGCACAGTGGATAAAGGCGTTGGTTAGATCCAGTGACAGGACCCAAAGTGTGTGAGTGGATAACTTGGAGAGGGGAATTAACAGAAGATAAGTGATAACTAACATCCATTAAAAAAAAAACATGGCATGTGAAACTAGAACAGTCTACCCCAGTGAGCGAAATAAAGTGTTCAGTTCGACATTCCAACTACCTGAAGAAGGTCGGAGCATACAACGGCCGAAACTTTGTGATAAATATGGCGAAAAAGATGAGGGCAATAATGTAAATAGTGTACATAATAGCTCATCTCAGAAAAATAGACAAAATAGGTCTCGCCCTCTCCATTATTGGTGGAGTCTTCCTTTATTACAGAACAGAATATTAACATTTTGATTATGACGTTATTTTCTTTTCGCTTAACATATGCTATTCACTTTGTTGCAGAGTGCTACTACATGTGTGGACGAGGTGGCCGAGTGGTTAAGGCAATGGGTTGCTAATCCATTGGGGTCTCCCCGAGTTAGTTCGGATCTCGTCCTCGTCGCCAAATTGTTGTAGAGTAGTTTCACACTGGAGGCTTGTATTTCACTAAGTCGGTCCTAAAAAGGTTCGACGTACAAAACGTTAGAAACTTGAAATAATAGTTAATGACGCAGCAATCTAGTTGTGGTGGTTGATACTTTAATGTCCGACATCGACTGACTCACCAACTTACTGAGCTCACTGGCGACTGCTACTACAACTACTACTTATTATATGTGGGAGAGTCTATTAACAATAGAATAGGTGTGTTTCAGTATAACGCACTTTTAGTTGTTGCGGTTGTTGGAAGTCCTCAAGTGTTGTGGTTTATGTTATTTGATACAGGTCTTTGTGATTCTGTAGCGCAATCCCGACAGGTTTAAAGATGGATGATCTTCTCTAAGATATTCATTTGTTGGAAGCCATTTTTATTCATTGATCTGAGGAACTGGTTGTATGCAGTTGACCATTTAGATATTTCTGAATGGGTTTGGCCACGTCCTCATAAAAAGTCAAATCTGAGGAGTCTATTTAACATGACTAGTTTTAGGTTAAGTTTTTAGTTTTCTGATATATTACACTGTTGGGCTATCAGTTTGTCCCTGTCTTTCCCATTACATCTTATTATATACGCTGTTCTTTTTTCTATATGATGATCTTCTTATGCGTAGCTTATATGCGACAGAAGGCCGAATGTATTGAGAACCCAGTGAGGATCGAACTCACTACTCAGTCGTAATTGATCTAGCGAGACAAGTTTACTAACCATTACACCAAGTCGAGATGCCTAAAAGATTTTCTAAGCGTAGATGTAGCACAAGGCTGAATGTATTGAGCACCCAGTGAGGATCGAACTCACTCTTCTATATGATGAGTTTCTTATGCGTAGCTTATATGCGAAAGAAGGCCGAATGTATTGAGCACCCAGTGAGGATCGAACTCACTACTCAGTCGTAATTGATCTAGCGAGGCAAGCTTGCTAACCATTACACCACGTCGTGATTCCAAAATGATTTTCTAAGCGCAGCTTAGATGTGGCCCAAGGCCGAATGTATGGGGCACCCAGTGAGGATCGAACTCACTACTCAGTCGTAATTGATTTAGTGAGTCCCGTTTGCCAACCATTACGATGTTTATAGGTTTAACAATGATTTTACTTTTTTTTTAAAATATGAATATACAATTTTTTTACTGTCAATATTTTAAAAACTATAATTTTTTGTATGGGGCACCCAGTGAGGATCGAATTCACTACTCAGTCGTAATTGATTTAGTGAGTCCCGTTTGCCAACCATTACGATGTTTATAGGTTTAACAATTATTTTACTTTTTTTAAAATATGAATATACAATTTTTTTACTGTCAATATTTTAAAAACTATGATTTTTTTTTAAAAAGTCGAAATCCGACAACGCTTAAATTTTATTTTTTTAATAATCATTTAATGATTTTAGTTTTAATTTGCGAAAGCCTCTTTCAGCACTTATCGAAAATTACATCAAAGGGTTTCTTTAAAAGAAATTCGACAACTGATAATCTATCAATCGAGGTCAACCTTTAAAGCGCTAAATTAAATAAATCAATAATTTTTATTGAGCATTTTGCAAACACACGTACGCATACATACATATACACACACACACACACAAATACGGACGCAAAAAAATAACGAAAGAAACAGATGAGTGATGGCGGAAAACATTTTCGAAAAGCACAATTATGCTTTCACAGAGGAGGCAAATCGTTCAGGGAGACGTTTCCATCGTCATATCAACGCAATTACAGCCACGTCATCAGACGGCCAGCGCGCCGGTGACAAATATTAATATCGCATCAGCGTAGAGCGTTAGTGATTAATATCGTTCTTTTCGACGGGTGAATATCCTAACGTTTCTTAATTAGAATAGCTCCAGCCAGACTTTGCTTTTCTTGCTTTCATTATGATGAGGAAGTGTCGTTTGATCATTGAGTGTGGTGGGAGCGGGGCGAGGGAAGGTCAGGGAGAGGACGCCTTTTTCCCACTCTAATATTTTTATTTGAACGATAATAATTACAACATATATTTTGCTCCTACTCTTTAATATTTGCAGCAGGTCATCAGTTTGTTATATACTAGTCTGTCGCTTTTTAAGTATCTATCTATCTATGTATCTTAGTTAATGTTCTTATCTATCATTCTTAGTTCATGCTCTTATCTATCTATCTATCTATCTATCTATCTATCTATCTATCTATCTATCTATCTTAGTTAATGTTCTTATCTATCTATCTTAGTTCATGTTCTTTATCTATCTATCTATCTATCTATCTATCTATCTATCTATCTATCTATCTTAGTTAATGTTCTTATCTATCTATCTATCTATCTTAGTTAATGTTCTTATCTATCTATCTATCTATCTATCTTAGTTCATGTTTTTATCTATCTATCTATCTATCTATCTATCTATCTATCTATCTATCTTAGTTAATGTTCTTATCTATCTATCTTAGTTAATGTTCTTATCTATCTATCTATCTATCTATCTATCTATCTATCTTAGTTCATGTTCTTTATCTATCTATCTATCTATCTATCTATTTTGTATTAGATCATTGAAAAAGATCCTACCCGATTAGAAAATGAAAATGAAAAAATTATATACTCACAAAAAAAACTTTTAAAGTACATAATCACCATGTTTTTAACAACTGAACCCCATCGTTCTATAGGCCTCGTGATGCCATCTTTTCGTAGAAACTTTTATTTTGCTGGAAGATTGTGAGGTAGGATTTGACTGTTGTACAGAGTCTTTTTGTAATTTAAATTGTTCTGTAAAGTCCTGAACAAATTAAAATTCAAAGGAGAAGACGATGGGTGCTGGAGGATTTCTCATTTCAACTCTAAGCTTCTGCAAATTTTGTTTTGCAAATGACACCTTTTCTTGAACCCAAATCTCTTCAAATGTCAAAGGGCAGTTTAGATATGGATTTTCAAACTCTTTCATCAAATTCTTCTGTTTAATCTCCACGATGGCATTCAGAACGTCTTTATCGACGTCCCGAAGGTCGCCCTGGGCGTGGTTGATCGTTTAATTAATAATCACCCCGAAGAAATCTGTAAAACCACATTTCGACTACACGAAGAGCTGGATCACGATTCAAATAAAACGTCCTAAGTGCATTTTTGGGCGCAGTTCCGACTTTCTAAAAATCATAGAGCATAATATTCTTTTCATTGTCCATCTTTAAAACATTCACTTGTGGACAAAATGTCAAAATTCAACAAAGTCTGATTCGCAAACTGAACGATGTATGGTTTCCATCTCGAGCACACCAGAAATCGCCCCCCCCCAAAAAAAAACAGAACAAAAACCAAAAAAACAAACGCCAGCGTTCAGTTGCGGTTATTTTATATTAACAATGAAATTCAGGTAGGAACTTTCGCAATGATCTTTCTATTTCAATCTGATTAGGTTAACCTAATTCTGGATGTACGTATTTCCAACGAGTTACTTATATATTAATCTATCTATCTCGGCTTGACGGTCGAAGGGCAGAGTCTCGTTCGGGGAGGTTGACCAAACCCGATTCTGTTTTTACAGTTTCTACGGGCATTTTGTGGCCGAGCCTACGGACTCGGAAAACCCACGTAATCTCGGCCTTGCAATTCGTCAATATTGAATCGAGTCGAGCCGATAGTATTTCACTCCAAACCAAACTGACAGTCATACTAACACCTTCCACATCTTGTATTATTATTTCGTGTAATATACTTTCGTTATTTCTACTCTTGTGTTCATGTTGTTCTTCCTTGGTTCTAACCTGGACCATATCACTATCTATCTATCTATCTATCTATCTGGCTTTTGTCCACATCATGTTGAAACACCGGTACCCGTACGATCACCGAAGTTAAACTAGTTTGAGCCTGGTCAGTACCTAGATCGGCGACCACTTGGAAATATTGGAAATAGCAATTAATGTAATATTGCGTGTGTGATGTAATGGTTAAGAGCTCGGAATTGTTAATCGGTGAGGAGAGTTCCAATTCCAGTTTGATTCGTTGGATTCACTTGTGCGCAGATACCCTTGAAAAAGTTATGAATCCACATCTTTCCCCCCATCTATGGGTTAATTAGTAAAACTGGTATCATTAATAATATCACAAAAAAGAAAAGAATTCTTACAATTTAAAAACATTTTCAGGCTTTAAATAACCCACAACATGTTGATAAACCATCAATCAATCAATATATATATATATATATATATATATATATATATATATACCTGGAAAAATACATTGAATCAATGACTTCCTCTACAGCAAGGAGAGTTGGTTCTCTTTGTCGCGCCAGAAAGTTTTTCTCACCTGAGTCCATCATTCAAATCTATAAATCAACCATTCGCCCTTGCATGGAATACTGCTGCTATATATGCTCTGGGAGCCCCCGATGTTCGTTTCAAAGTCCTCGACAAAATCCAGAGACGTATATGCAATGTTCCTGGTCCTGATCTGGCATCTCGTCTACAGTCACTTTCTCACATACGTGCCGTCGCTTCCCTCTGTCTTTTCTACAAATACATTCACGGTAACTGCTCTGACAAGCTACTTTCGCTGGTTTCCAAAATGCATGAATTTAAGCGTGCTACTAGGTTGGCATCTAAGTCCAACCCTTCATGTCTCGTACTTCATGTACTTGCTTCCCTAATAGCTATAATCTTCAATAATTCAAATGCAATGTTAATCGACATCTTCAGATGCCTTGATCTAATTCCTCGTCTTTCTCTTCATCCTTTCCTCTTTCACGCCTTTTTACTCTCGTTCCCATCTCTGTAACCCCTTGCGTGCTAGTGGCACTCCCACCTTCCTTGGGGTGAAATGCTTAAAAAATCTATCTATGTATTCTTGCAATTTCTACCTATCTATTTATATCAGTATCTATCTATCTATCTATGTTCATTTAGCTTTCTATCTATTTATATATCTATTTCTGTTCTTCTGTCTGTCTATCTATCTATCTATCTATCTATCTATCTATCACTTTCTCTTTTTCATTTATCTCTTTTTGTTCTTCTTCATCTATCTATCTATCTATCTATCTATCTATCTATCTATCTATCTATCTATCTATCTATCCCAATATTATTGGGTTAATTTTAGTTGGTGCAATTAATTTCAGGCTTTCATTTCATAAATCACCCATTTTTGCAAAGACAGAGATTTTTTTTCCTCAAGTGATGCAAACAATTCAAACCTTTGAAAGATGTCTTAAAAATACGATAAGAATATTATCCTGGTTGCCCTCGACCCATCAGATTGGATTTCATCTGAACTATTCCTATCATAAAATTTTAGATGAACTTCATTCAGTTACTATAATTCAGACTTTTACAGCTAAGACATACCGTGTCCCTACCGCAGACGAGATTCACCTTCATTTCATCCGTATTCCAAACGTAAGGACAAGGTTAAATCCAGAGAGCTCATTCTCCCCCTAATTTGTATCTTTATGTAACTGACTCCCGCGTGAATTCTTCCCTGAAAACTACATCCCTAACCTCTTCAAGTCAAGAGTTGCTTTTTATCGATCCTTCTTATCTCAATAATCTTCACTTTATCTTTCGTTCATATCATATATATCGTTTATCAGGAGACAAGCTGGAAATTTCAATTCTGCTTGTTTAGACCATTCCCTTCAGTTATACCTGTTACAATATCTGGATTTTTATGAACCTATAATAAATACAAGATTTTTATGAACCTATAATAAATACAGGATTTTTATGAACCTCTAATAAATGCAGGATTTTTATGAACCTATAATAAATACAGAATTTTTATGAACCTATAATAAATGCAGGATTTTTATGAACCTATAATAAATACACGATTTTTATAAACCTATAATAAATGCAGGATTTTTATGAACCTATAATAAATACAGAATTTTTATGAACCTATAATAAATACAGGATTTTTATAAACCTATAATAAATGCAGGATTTTTATGAACCTATAATAAATACAGGATTTTTATGAACCTATAATAAATACAGGATTTTTATAAACCTATAATAAATGCAGGATTTTTATGAACCTATAATAAATACAGGATTTTTATGAACCTATAATAAATAGAGGATTTTTATAAACCTATAATAAATGTAGGATTTTTATGAACCTATAATAAATACAGGGTTTTTATGAACCTATAATAAATACAGGATTTTTATGAACCTATAATAGATACAGGATTTTTATGAACCTATAATAAATACAGGATTTTTATAAACCTATAATAAATGCAGGATTTTTATGAACCTATAATAAATACAGGATTTTTATGAACCTATAATAAATGCAGGATTTTTATAAACCTATAATAAATGCAGGATTTATATATACCTATAATTAATACCGGATTTTTATAAACCTATAATTAATACCAAGTTATTCATCGTCCTGGGTAATACGATAAATTATATCCGATAGCAAAGCGTTTGATCAAGAGCTTTTGAGGAGCCTGGAACCACCTCTTAATTGCTGGTGTTCCTAGGTCTACTCTGACCCAGGGTGGTAGCATCTATTAGGGCCCCAGCTATGGGAAAATAGTTACCCACCCCCGAACTGGGGTCAAAAATCTATGAAAGTGTAAAAATAGGTTTTAATACCAACAATGCATTTTTGGAAAAAAATATTACCAGCAATACATTTTCGGAAAAAAAATACCAGCAATACATTTTTGAAGGAAAAAAATATTACCAACTATACATTATTACCAGCAATACATTTTTGAAAAAAAATATTACCAGCAATAAAAATCCTGTCGGCATTAAATAGCCCATTGAGGTGTTGATATGCCGTAAATCAAATCCAAATCCAAGTTATTACAAACCTATAATTAATCCCGGATTTTTATAAATCTATAATTAATACCGGATATTTATAAACATATAATTAATACTGGATTTCAATAAGCCTATAATTAGTACCGGATTAAAGAAATAAAACTATAATCAATACTGAGATGAGATATTATGATTATTTACATTATTCGGATTGTTAACCTCATGTTCATCGCCATATTTACAACGTTTCCGCCATTGTACGCTCCGGCCTTCATCAGGTGATTGCAATTTCGAACCGAACCCTTTATGTCGTCTACCTGGGTAGATTGTTCTGGTTTTTATAACATATTTATGTTATAATTTTTAAATAAATAATAATATATATATATATATATATATATATATATATATATATATATATATGTACGAAGGCAAGTAAAATATAAAGGCATTTTCCATATAACCCTTTTATTTCGACATATTTCTCCCCTTGCATGGCAGTTTGCTTCTGGTATTGTTCACTGAACTTCACCCCTTGCTCACGAAGCCATATTGACGGCGTTTATTTGTTTGGGCACCCAAAACGCACAAGTCATCATGCACTATGGCTTGTGCAGATCCATAGTTGATGCCCACGACTGCCGCCACTTGTCGGTCTTCCCTGATCAAAGCATCCACCCTCTGGATGTGTTCTTTCGTGCGCGATGTTGACGGGTGACCAGATCGCCTTTCATCTTTTACATTTGTTCTCCCAGCATTAAGGCGTTCTACCCACTCAAACACCTTTCGCTGATTCCTGGTGAGCGTTCCATATTGCGGCAATGCGATGGATTTCCACAGGTTTGACACCCAGTGCCCACAAAAAGTGTACTACGGCACGGTGTTCCTCCATGGTGCAATCACTGAGTACAGCGTCCACACATCTCACCGATTTGCTGATTGCAAGTCGATTGAAAAATACAGTGCTGCTCTGTTATCCCATGCACACACGTGGTGTTGCGAGACAACATTTTAAAATTGTTATATATATATATATATATATATATATGTATATATATATATATATATACACGATACTTATTGGAAAGCGCTCAATATCAGTGATAGAGCTAACATATTTAGTTGGATTGATTTGAGTTTGTGACCCTGGGTCTCAGTCGTCGCGATCATCAAACAATATGACGATCCCAAGGGCGTGAAACACAGATTCACAAATTCAAATCAATCCAGCTATATATATATATATATATATATATATTGTGTATTTTGGCAGCATATTTTCATTGAGGCAAGTTTCACTGTATAATTCAGACAAGTTTTGTCTGCTTATTTTCAATAAGATCCGTTCATATGCTTTTTGGTGTCAGTATTAAAAGATGAGAGAAAATTACCGTGTTGATACATATTGTTTTATTCCGAGTACTTTCAGCATTAACGCAATTCATCCTCAGTGTGTGTTTTTAAGACAATAATGTAGCGTTCATTATTTCCAAAGCCAAAATTGCTATGTTCATCTGAAAGTTATAATTTTAGGTGTGGATTGAGGACCGATAATGTTTTTGCCATGCAGTGTTTGTTTACATTCTAGGGGAGGTAACTAATTATGACATGTGAAGATTTCTTTTTGAAAAAGGAGAAATTACTATGAGAAACTATTAATATACACCTTGATATTTTAGTCGATCTATTGTAATCATTTTAGAACATTTGTGAAGTATTAATAATTAATCTTGTTAAGGTTTGGTTTCATTTTTTTTTAATATAGATAGCTTCAAGAATATTTAGTTTAGATTTTTTAAAAGCATGAAAAATATGTATGTATTTTCGACAAGAATTTCTTTAATTTTGAATATATATATATATATATATATATTTAATACATGTATATATATATATTTAAAATATGTATATATATATATATTAAATATATATTTTTTTTTTTATATATATATATATATATATATATATATATATATATATATATATATATATATATATTAATCAATTCATCTCGAGAAAGGTGATAATGCAAGGGATAAAGATAATCAGAAGACTTTAGAAGGAACCGGAAACTCAGTTCTAAACAGGAAACAATGGCTAAACTTCTGCTCTAATAC